GCCCCCATCCATGCATGCATGCGCCCATCACTAGCTACACCAGCGTTTTCTTTATGATTCATTCGATCTCGCCAGCTGCTTGCTTGCTCGATCCTATATAGTACTGCAGCCTCTGCCATAGCAGGGGAGAGAGGAGGAGGAGCAGAGAAAGAAGAGTGAGGATGGCATCGGAGAAGGTGGAGACGATCGTGGCGGGGAACTACGTGGAGATGGAGAGAGAAGGGGGCGACGGCGAGCATCAAGCAGGGGCAGGGGCGGGAGGCGGAGAGGGCGGCGGCGCGGCGCCATCGGGGAGGAGCAAGCTGGTGTCGAGCCTCTTCTGGCACGGCGGCTCCGCGTACGACGCGTGGTTCAGCTGTTCGTCGAACCAGGTGGCGCAGGTGCTGCTGACGCTGCCCTACTCCTTCTCGCAGCTGGGGATGGCGAGCGGCATCGCGCTGCAGCTCTTCTACGGGCTCATGGGGAGCTGGACGGCGTACCTCATCAGCGTGCTGTACGTGGAGTACCGGACGCGCAAGGAGCGGGACAAGGTGGACTTCCGGGGCCACGTGATCCAGTGGTTCGAGGTCCTGGACGGCCTCCTCGGCAGGCACTGGCGCAACGCCGGCCTCTTCTTCAACTGCACCTTCCTCCTCTTCGGCTCCGTCATCCAGCTCATCGCCTGCGCCAGCAACATCTACTACATCAACGACTCCATGGACAAGCGGACGTGGACCTACATCTTCGGCGCCTGCTGCGCCACCACCGTCTTCATCCCCTCCTTCCACAACTACCGGATGTGGTCCTTCCTCGGCCTCCTCATGACCACCTACACCGCCTGGTACCTCACCGCCGCCGCCCTCGTCCACGGCAAGCTGGAAGGGGTCACCCACTCCGCGCCCACCAAGATGGTGCTCTACTTCACCGGGGCCACCAACATCCTCTACACCTTCGGAGGCCACGCTGTCACTGTGTAATCATCATCTTATTCTCTTAATTATAAGTAATTTTGCATGTTTTTTGAACTCCTGCTCATGGATCTTGCATTGCATGCATAATTGCACAGTGAGATCATGCACGCCATGTGGAAGCCGCAGAAGTTCAAGCTCATCTACCTCATGGCGACGCTGTACGTGCTGACGCTAACGCTGCCGTCCGCGTCCGCCATGTATTGGGCCTTCGGCGACGCCCTGCTCGACCACTCCAACGCCTTCTCCCTCCTCCCGCGCACGCCTTTCCGCGACGCCGCCGTCATCCTCATGCTCATCCACCAGTTCATCACCTTCGGCTTCGCCTGCACGCCGCTCTACTTCGTCTGGGAGAAGGCCATCGGCGTGCACGGCGACCGCACCGGCATCTTCCGCAGGGCGGCGGCGCGCCTTCCCGTGGTGGCGCCCATCTGGTTCCTGGCCGTTGTCTTCCCCTTCTTCGGCCCCATCAACTCCACCGTGGGGTCCCTCCTCGTCAGCTTCACCGTGTACATCATCCCCGCCGCGGCGCACATGGCCGTCTTCGCGGCGCCGGCGGCCAGGGAGAGCGCCGTGGAGCGGCCGCCGCGTGGGCTCGGGGGGTGGGCGGGTATGTACGCCGCCAACTGCTTCGTGGTGGCGTGGGTGCTCGTCGTCGGCTTCGGGTTCGGCGGCTGGGCCAGCACCGTCAACTTTGTGCGCCAGGTCAACACCTTCGGACTCTTCACCAAGTGCTACCAGTGCCCTCCAAGGCACTAATTACCTAGCTTTTAAATCTTTGATTAATCACCTACCCATATAAGTAGCAAACTGAATTTAAAAGATTATTCAACATGCCTAGTTAGTTTCTTCTTGAGAGAAGAAACTTTAGTTAATCTCTCACAAAGAAAAATCAAATCGGAGCTTGTTTTTGAATTTTGACCGTGTCGTGTTTTGTTTGTTTGTGTGTGTGTGTGTGTGTGTGTGTCATGTTTGTAATTATTATTATTTTTTGAAACGGAGTTCATGAGAACTGTATGTATGTGTATATAATGTATGTATCTTAAGATCAGTGATATATCCATCTTTTCTTTGTACGGGCTTCCGCTTTGTTCTTCTCCCATCTATAAAGTTCACATGCAGTTCTCCTATATGATTCGGCTCCTTGGTTTTTAATTAGAAGCATTTTAAATTTGTAGAGTTCAGAAACCCGAAAGAGGATGATCAGAGATTGTTTGGCTCAATTGTTTTTTGTGCGGGATGTTTATTTAGCTTAATTGTTGCGAGGTTGTGATGTGGCATGCATACATGTGCTGCTACACTACAACATTGGAGATAATTTCTAGAGATTTTGTGTCATGTCCTGTCCATATATGCATGCCAGTTTGCAGCGACCCTCCCTGCTAATCAATTCACTCCAGTTCGGATCTTCACATACTCCTGGACAGCGGCGGAGACAGGCCCCAGGCAGCCGCGGGCTGCCTGGGGCGTGAAGCTGATTCCCTTTGTATACTGTAGAGAACAGTGTAACTATACAGCTACAGTACTCAAAGTCTGCCTGGGGCGGCCGGGGGCGTGGCCAAATCCTGGCGCCGCCACTGCTCCTGGATACATTAGACTAATTAGAGGGTCCTACCATCTACTAGGACTAGGAGTGGTGATGATCCATCCCCTTCATAAAGCGGACATCCTATGGTGATGATGATGATGATGCATCCATCCATCCAGTTAACTGATGATACCCACAGGACAACTAAATAATTTCACCTGTCGAAGAATCACGTGTGACAATGATCACGCATTGCTTTGGTCCACCTTTAATTTGTCCCAGAAAATCAAAGTCACTTGCAGATTCTGATAATGCAGTGAGAGATGAGGACGAAGGGGAGAAAGATCAGCTGGAACTGACAGCATGTGTGCATTGCATGTTGGGGAAAGGTGTGAGAGGGCTGTCCTCGGCATTGCTGGTCCATGCATGCCTTTGTTGTGAAGAAACTGTAGGACGTGTGACGAAAAGCAGAACAACGATTTTCAAACGAAAAGAAACTAATTAACTACTCTCTCTGTAACCTCCTTTGCAAGAAAAAAGGTACTCCCTCCGTTCGAAATTATAAGATGTTCTAACTTTTTTTCTGAATCGAATGTGTATATATGTGTTTTAGTGGGTTTGTTCACTCATATGTAGTCCATATTAAAATATCCAAAACGCCTCATGATTTGGAACATGGGTGATATACCTGAAATCCAGTCAACACTAGCAGGGGGAGGTACAGTTTCATGGAGACTGCTACTCAAACCAACCGGGTGATCTGAATGCAGAAATGCTGACAACTGCTAGATGACAACAGATCATGGGAGAAGGAAGGACGCAATCAACCAAGCATGCGCCGATAGCAGCGTCGCCTCCGTGTCTGTAGCGGCGGCATCGCCTTCTTCTCCACCTCCGGCGGGGTACGGACAAGGATCATTCGGCATGCACAGGCGCCAAGAGGACTGGACGAGATCTCCTCCAGCCCAGAAGACCATCATCCTTCACCTTCTAGTCTCAACTCTTCAGGTATCAACAGACATTATTTGTCATTGCAAATTTTCAAGCCTGGCAAGCTAACTAGACGATGTTATCCTGAAAGGCTACAACCCATTGTAATTTCAAATCCTCCTTTTTGTATCAGCAAATCAAAACACATGCTTGCTCGTAACACTTTCTTTGTCATTTTCCATAAGTTAGCCGACAGAAAGGTCCAGCCAAATCTACTGAATCAGGAAACTACAAGATGCGTAGCCCCAGATCCAGACAGCAACAAACAGGACAGCAAGATCAGGCAAACATCCATCCATGGATCCAAGAGCATGCATTATTCGGAGCTGGGAGTTTCTGACATGTCCACGGTTCCATGGACACAAAACATTGATTATCTCAGTGATTAGCATAGCAGATGATTAATAAGATTAAGCAGATGCAGCCAGGCAGGGTACATGCCAAGCAAAGCTACAACGGCAGCCTGCCTGTAAGGACAGAGACTGTAGGGTGCCCAAGCAACAGCCCCTCACGTCAAACATCAGATCTGGAGGAATCTTGGTCCATCTATTTTGCTCTTCAGTAAGTGTGCGCGTGTGGCAATAATTGAAGGATCCAATATAGTCTACACATGCATGCTTGATAAAAGGAAATGATGCGACACCAAGATTCTCCAGAGACCAGAGTGTCCAACAACAAGAGAACCATGATTTGGAGGGCTCATGGAAATGAAGCCGTGGCATGGTGCATTTGGAAGTTTCAGGTAGAGAAGAGAAAGAAAAGATGGTGAAAGTTTTGTCACGATGCCTTGATAGAGATTGTAGAGGTAGGCAATTAAGTACATCTGCTACCTATTAATGGAGGCAAAAAAGGACACACAGAAAGGTACATTGGCGAAAAAAGGTGGAAGTTAGCAAAAAAAAAACTCATTGTAAGTTAGTATTTGCCACGTTTGGCCATTGTCTGTTTAGGCCTCCTTTGTTTCATAGGGTAGGAAAATCGTAGGAATAGGAAAGTCATAGGAAATGAGATAACATGTATCTCAAATCCTATGAGTAGGAATAGGAAAGGAGATGCCCTTTGATTCACATCATAGGATTTTTTCCATTGAGCCTAGGCTAATGTTTATTTTCCTATGAAATGTGGAGGATAGGAAGAATTTCTCCATAAGAATAGGATTCCATTCCTACAAACCAAAGGGCTCTAAAGGAATTTTTCCTATAGAAATTCTATCCTATGAAATTCCTACAAGATTCCTCTAAACCAAAGGAGGCCTTAGTTTGTTGTGTACTTGTATTGCAGACAATATATGAATATAGTCCAAAGATACAGCCTAAATACTGGGTCGAAGCCAGGGGCTGGATCTTATATTCTGATACAACCTCCTGAGAAATGAGGGTGGAAATTATACGAGTTTACAACATTGTGACTTAACAATTCTCTAAGCCAGTAAATATTCAAAAATTCCATCGCAGAAGCAAAAACATGTACAGATTAAATTTACATGATTGCTACTGTACCGATAAGCAATAATTAAATCTATGTCTAATTAATGTCTAAGTAAAGCTGGATGAGCCCAACATTAACTGAAACATGTCGTCTGGGGTGAGAAGGGTTGTACCACCAAGAATGAGCTCCACATCAGGTCTGCCGCTCTCTGAGATTGCCTTCATGACTTCCCGGACCTTGCATGAAAAACACCAAGCTTATCAAAGACAACACTGCTTTCTAACACTAACAAACAGGGATTTGGGTTATATGGTTTTTCTCAGGAAGAAGCAAGTATTCTTTAGTGGTTGGTTGCGATCTCTGGATTAGAGATCTGCAATCTGACGTATGCTTATCAAGCTGTATGAATTAAAATCTGATATTGTGGAGAAAGAGGTTCTACTGGATATTAATAAAGCAGTGTACTGATCTAGACAGTTCCAATAAAACGAATCAAAATCTTGTTGTGCATCCTTTGTGTAGTTCCAGATCGAGATTCAATACTAATGAATATATCACAAACTACGACAGAAACAACAAACTTCATCATGACATGATAAAATAAATAAGCCAAAAAATATGGACCAGAACGTACCTCAAGAGTATTGATACCTCCCACAACAAAAACGATGAGAAAACTTTGATCGCCAAAATTTGGTTTGGACTGCAGGCAAAACAACTGTGAGCTCGTAACTAAAACAAATGGCACAGCAAGAAAACAATCGACCAACGTACCTGTCCAAGGCCAAACCTACCCAATCCACTTTTAAATAAACGGCCAACAGCTGATGAATGATACTCAAGGCCAGGTATGCCAAATCTCGTCAACACAGCTAATATCAACTTATAAAGCAAGCCTTTTCTTGAGTAGCTATCAGTCTCAAACCGACTCAGTGCTGCCAACCCTTCTCCAAGAGCTTGATAACGTAATCTCATACTGGACAAGCTATGAAAGAATTTAAAGAGTTGATCTACCCTATCCCGTACTTCCAACTTAAGTTGCATGTCCCCGTAAGCTTCCTCTTTTTGATGATCAGCATCATCATCATCGTCCCAGTTATCCCACTGGTCATCAAAATCATCGGTAGTGGTAGAAGTAGGCTCACTAGAGTCCTTATTTCTATCACCATCTTTAGATCTACCTTTAGCTTCAAGTTCCTTCTCCAAACCATCAAGGAACCGGAACTTCACAGATGATGGCCTCTCAAGGATAGAGTCCACCACAACATCTTTCAGTGACCGTTCATCTTCCCAAGAGAATGGACCACCAGCTATCGATGTAGGAAAGTTTTCGCCAGCCAAGATATATCCAACGACCGTTAGAAGTAATATGTCCTGGAAAGTCAGAAGGCCTTGCGTAGACCCCATGGTATTACCTTGTTTGTGAGATTCCACTGAAGTGCTAGTGTTGATGAAATCACGAATCTCACTGGCAAGACTTTGAGTTGTCTCGGCTGATGTTACACTTAATATTCTCTCAGCACTTGTAAAGGCCTCCCAGCGAGTACTTTGAGGCTCCTGGAGAGCCATTTCAGCAGCCAGTGCCAACTGAATAACCCCTCTGTTTCTTACCAAGGACAGCTCGTGTTGACAGAGCATTTGCACCATAGAAGGAAGCTCTGAAATAGAAGCCGTCTGTCGACCTTTAGATGGAGAGGACAGCTTCTCAAGCTGTAAAGCCTCCATAAGCCATTTCTTAATCAACACCAACCCATCTTTTGCTCCTCTGTCTAATAATGCTTCTAAGTAGCGCACTCCAGCATAGTTGGATAGGAAAGAGCCACTTAGAGTGCCTACTTTGCCATCATGTGCTTTGTCGGAGTAATCAGGTAGCCAGGTAACTTCGGAGTCAACCTCAGCAGAGTTCCAGCCAGACACAAATGCCATCATACTTTCAGACAGCATGCTGGTTCTGCTCTTAGTTTCTTCCTTGCTAAAGGCTGATTCAAAAGGGACCTTTATATCTAGTGGGGAGCGTTTTACAGTAGCTTGGGAATGCTTGCTGGGAGTTTGAGGATTTTTCGCTGCATAACCGGATGAAGTCCTTTCCTTGCGTGGCAACGAGGACAACATCCTATCAAGAAATGAGTCGCCATGAAGGCAAGGAGTTAGGAGATCAATTGTACGATCTACAATCAGTAGACCAGCAGAACTCTTATTACGACCAACGTCATATAGACTTGACATATCCATCATCAGCTTCCCAATGGCCCTTGATGTATCACCAAGTGAAAATATATCAAGCTTTAGGTCCATCTACACAAATTTTGTAATGGAGATCAACAAAAGGTTTCGTGCTTGAAAAGTAGATAAGAGCAACTACAATGCAGCATGCTGCACATGATAGAAGTCATTACCTTATTGGCCAAATGGTACAAGAATTGAGCAGTCAAGGTTAGTCCTGGGGGCACCTCATCGCCATCAAAAGGTTTACCAGTAGATATGGAGGGTAGACCAGGGCCAAGGGAATCCTCACGGTGGTTTGACAAATATGATTCAGCAATTGTACCTTCCGAAGGTAAAACAAAAGTCCTTGAGGAAATAGGAGAGAAAATCATCGGAAAGTGACACACGGTTACAGACAACCTCTTTCCTCTTGCTTCAACCTGACCTAAGTCATCATTAGAAAAATCCTTTTTCCTCGGGCTAGATTCAGAAGGGCCATAGTGCACCCCAGAACCCCACTTAGTATCACCATCTGAGGTGAAATCTCTTTCTGTGTATGGGATGTTATCTTTATCCTTGTTCAACTTCCCACACTTCTTTAGAAGCTCCTCATGGTCCTGAATGAGTAATGTCTCATACTCCCGGAAAGCATCTGGTCCAAGTGGGGAATCAACATATGCTGAGTGACCAATCTGCAATAAATTCACCAAAGGTTCAAAAGGTTCCTCGCATAACTTTGCGATAACTTGAAATAGATTTAAGAAGGCTCTAAGATAATGAAGTGAATAAGAAAGATGGGCATGCATTTTGGCAAAACTAACTGTGAATTTCAGAAGAAGCAATGTACGCAAAGAAGTTCTTACTGATACCCTCATATATTAGGATGGCAATTTTACCCATGGACATGGATACCCATGGATATCCGACCCGAATGGATAGGGTTTGGATATGCTTTTATGCCCATGGGCGATGCCCAGACCCGACCCGATTGCTCGTGGGTAGGGCATGGATATAATTTTGTACCCGTGGATATACCCAAACCCGACCCAATAGTATGCATTAATGGGCAAAAATCTGCTATCCCTACCCCACAGTCACATGTCCCACTTCAATTTTACACTTTATTATGTAAAACATGCAAAAGAAATTGCACAATCCCCACCGTAACTTTTATTAGTTGACATTCAATCCCCACCAACATACTCCGGCGCCCCTTCCCTTATTTTTATCTCCTCGTTAAAATGACTCGTCATTCTCATTCTCATCTTTTAGAAAAATACTAAATGATATTAGGTTGTTAGTCGACGTTTACAATAAGTGAAGCCTAGCTTGCCACAAGATGAAGAATGGAAGATCTTATGTTAACATTGTCTTATGTCTTATTTATATGTCTTGAGAGGACCCAATAGATATCCAGTGGGTATGGATATCCATCGGGTTTGAATATGGACACAATTTTTCACCCATGGATTTTTTTCATGGGCAGGCAAAGACTGTCTTCATGGATATGGATATGGATTTGATATTGTTCAACCCGATCCAAACCTGACCCATTGCCATCCTTTATAAGGCTACTACATAAATCAGATAGTTCAGGACTCATGAGGACCTCAACCGAATCAGGCTAGTTTTGAAGTAGATACAGTGAAAAACACAAGTACACTACAAACTACACCCCGTTCCTAAATATAAGTCTCTTTAGACATTCCAATATGGACTACATACAAAACAAAAAGAGTGAATCTACACTCTAAAATATGTCTATATACATCCGTATGTAGTTCATATTGAAATCTCTAAAACGACCTATATTTAGGAACAGAGGGAGTACATAAAACAGAAAGTGTGTGACTCGTGGTGACCTTATGATAAATCCAATAAGTTTTGGAACAGGGAACATGCAAGCCACTAATAAACAGAGATCAAACAGAGATCAAACAGTGCAGATATAGTAGATGCAATGCTACCAGCATGAGCAGTGACCAACACGTATTTTGATGATTTTTTTTTCTAGAAAAATATGAACTCCTGCACCAGTACAAGTATACTGCATTTTTCAACGAAGAGAGAATCATGGCATTATCATTCCCTGTTCTGCGTAGGAACTGCGAATGCATAGGGAAAGAAAACCATAGGGGGGTTCTAGCAGCCCGTGAAAAATTAAGATCATAGATTTCTGGATCTAAATCTTCAGACTCTTTTCTCAGACTGGTTTCGGAAAATCATTTGAGCTGACCATGGGTCCTAGTAGATAATAGTAAATTCAAACACCATTCATCCCCTATGTAAAAACTCAAACTCTTTTGTTAGGTGACTGACTCTAAGGCCGTGAAGGATATTTCCCTGATCACCAAGATGGAGACAAGAGACGTCTTCGAGACACGAGAAAGATGCACTTCAGGGAAAACCAGTCCCCACGGAAGTCCGATGAAGATTGAAACATCTAGGCCATAATTGCTGACTTGCTGTAAATTCTTGTAAGAGTTACGTTGCAAGTTTATTTGTAAAATTAAAAATTTGTAAAATAATATAATTAGCAGTATGATCAGACCCTTCAGAAGCAAACCAGTCATCACAATTAACATATTATTGCAGGGGTTAAGCACCTCGGAAATCGCTGTCAATACAGTACAATGTGAAACAGTTCCATGGTTGCCCAAGCAGCGTATAATATACCGATGTGCATCACTAAGAAGGCGTGATGTAATCACGACAATCTTCCTTGCTGGATGAGCAAAACTTGAATTCCACTCAGCAGCCTGCGAACACAGATACATCAGGTGATAAGGTAAAGAGCAGAACAACAAGACAGACCATTTCTCGAGTACAGAAAGTAATAAAATTTCCCTGTTTCTATAGTAAGACACAAGAAACCTTGTTAATTGCATATAAGAATACTGCATCTTTACTGTTATCGACGTGGCAGATGCCAGCCAGTCTGACGTGCACACCAGCAGCAAATGCCAAGCTAAGGCCCAAGGCCCAACAATCAGATAGCCACAAGAGTCTAGTTACAGCAGCAAGCCAACAATGCAGCTAAAAACAATTGTGGCCATGAGGGACGTCGGGATAGTGAGAGCTGCACTGATCGATTTGGTCGCATTTGTTAGTTTGGGAGGAGATGTAGATTGCATCATATATGTTAGTTAGGTTCGAAATCTCTATTCTATTTAAAGATAAAGAAGTGCAGCCATTATTATCAAGAACATATGACCTTCTTTCTTCAAAACCCTCTCCTTCATCTATGGTCAATGCCTCCTTATTCTAGCATCCTGTATCTCTACAGCCATGCTGCAAGGCCCACTTCACAGTACTCACGAAACTGGCATACCAAGGTTAGCATGCAGGTTACTAGGATTGTCATTTCCTATCCATCATAAGAAATCAGAAAAAGAAAAAATAAATATAAATTATACAGACTCAGTATATTGCCAGATCAATAGGCAGTACTTCAACAATCAGTTAATTACCACCCTAACTATCGCAGAAGTCCAACTTTCACTATGAACTACGACCATCACAACTTCGGCACCCACGAGGCCACGACGGATGCTATTCAGGTGATGACAGAAGGCACCACATTTCTTTCAGTTATTTCCCCCTCTACCCACATTCCCCTCAACTGTTTGCTTCTACGGCTGTTATACATTGAGCCAAAAAAGCTCACGGATAGATAATTCTAGATACGTGCAACCACGTACACACGCAGCATGCCACACCGTGCCATGGCAATGCTAGACGACAGAGCCCTGTGTCAAGTGCCCTGTACGCACACACTATCATTCCCATGACCGCAGGAGCCCGAGGAGATCAAGGCACACACCAAACATGTATTGGCATCATTGATTGCAAGACCTGGCTCTAGCACCTTACTTGCATATGACTTTATGGTTAGCGAAGAAAGGGTGAGATGGATGTTAACAGAAGCAATAATAGCTACATGGATGGCGACTTGGCAAAACCATGCATAAACTCATGTTAGGGGGTTATACAAGGGTGAGATGCATATAGAAATACATCATCGCTAAAACCTAGTGTGCATACATGTAAGTTCTGGCTTGCCTACTAACTTAATACAACGAAAATAAGTGAATTGCAATTTACAAAGTGCGTTATTCATATGACATCTGCTGGCCATAGTCAATTTCCACAATGCAGGTACAGTGCGTAAATCATCAGAAAAATAGCCCAGTAATGCTACACGACATTCATTAAACATTCGAGTTGCCACCAACACCACTCATAGAAACTAGAATCACTGCACCATGACCATCAAATTATAGGGAAACAGGGCAAGTTGTAGATTTCTGTAGTTGCTTGATATTAGATAGAAAGCGAGAGCAACGGAACCTTACAGCATCAAGAGGAGACGTGCTTTCCAAGCTGCACACTGCCCGAGCACCGAGCTCGAGAAGCAGAGGGAATGCTCCTATAAACTGGAACGCCTCCAGAGTGCCTGCATCCAGGTACACTAGTGCATCTGCAATCTCATCTCCAATCTGCAAAGCACCAGTAACTGAATCAATTTCTATAGTGCAAGCTGGGAAGATTATACCTATACTGTAGAATCATCACCGGGCAGTTTTCCTCAATTCTTTTACATATTGAGTTAACAATAAAGCAGCCCCATGTTTTACCACTCGTTTTAAGATGGATTACTTCGGTTCGGAAGCTCCAAATGTTTGTTTCTTCTTCAACAGAAAAACTGCTGGAGGCGGAAAATTCTAAGAATCCTCATGCGCTCCATCATCAAAAATTACGCACTGATACTTCTCGAAGGATCGATAAGAAAACGAGCAAGCCAAAAAAGAGTACGGAACCAGCAAAGGGGAACTCGCGAAGTGATTCGACCTGGCGGATGGAGTCTTGGCAGGACGCGATCAGATCCACCGCCACCATGGCGTCTCACTCCCTAGGTCCCCAGAAGATTGCGGAACCTTCACCGCGACGCCACCGGGTGATGCGGTCGGATCGTGGGTGAGGGGCGGAGCCGGAGGGAACTGCCGTCGGTGACCGGGGCTAGAGAATCCGGAGACCCCGCCGCTCCCGCCGAAGGGGGGAGGGAAGGGGAGGAGAGATGGATACCACCTCCGGAGCTGCAGCTCGCCGGAGATGCGTCGCTGGCTGCTACACGGGAGATCAGCGCGGAGGAGACGGTGGGGGGACTCGCAGGAGGAGGATTAGCTCCGTTTTAGTTCAGTCTTTGGTTTCCCAAGCCCATGCGAATACGGCCCAGCTACAAAAGCAACATCAGTTCTCTTCTTTCCTTTTTCTCAAAAAAAAAAGGTTCTCTTCTTTCCTTTTCTCCAAAGAAAATATATTTCTTCCCAAATGTAAATTCTAAATTTGAAATATTTAAATGATCCCACAAATCAGTTGAGGAAATTTCAGATGATAACCAAAATTATTAGTTTGTACCTTAAACTCGTCAAGGTTTCATAAACCCTCAAATATGACCAAGCCTACCCCATTAGCGAGGTATTGGTGAAAATATATACTCATGCTACAAGACACATGCGCAGTGCATAGTCTATGTTACCCTGAATAATCTTGGTTGTAAATATTTACTCTAACGATTAAGTCATGTTGTGACTTAGTAGAGCTAAGTTACTTAATCTGTTTTCTTAATACCACCTAGCCAACTCAAGTTTGAGGCTTGTCTCCGTAGTAGTCTCTCGTATTTAGGTGGACAAAAATCCCTTTGTCACAAAAAAAATCTCAAATAGACTTTTGAAGCTATCCATTGAGATCGACCGCAAAAAATCAACTCCCTACCCTACCTTTTTAGCAACCAATATTGCTAAATTTCTCCTACCATATTATGGTGTGGCCCTTTAGGCACAGGCTCCGATTGACTCCTATTTTCTTTTCTTTATCTCACCAAATTCTTTTCACTCACTCTATTACTCTCGCTTGCAAATACAGAAGAAAATGTCAGATCTAAAAACATCTAATGTGCAAAGTCTCCTCATATAGCTAGTTGTAGGTTCTAGATCTATGCTTAATGATTTCTTGAAAATCATCCAACACATCATTTGTGCTAGGACACCATGTGCTTATGACCAAAGACTAGATAGCGCAAGGTAAATGTGTTCAACACACATTTGTGCATTGATGAGCGTCCATCCATGTATTGTGTGCCAAGGAGGTGACAATGACGGTGGTTTTTGCTTTGATGTGCTTTAGCAATGACCATAGAAAGTTAGTCTAGGGACTCCTTTGGTGCCCTATTCACCAGTCTTTTGGACTCATCATTCTTCATGCAAATGGCTTATACAAATAGCCCATAACCAATATTGTGTTTGATGTATTTTTTCTTCTATAATTCATGTAATCAATTCATATGTTCAAAAACGTCTATGATGCATATTTCATAGAACACTTCTCTATGTAAACAAATCCTGAAAGAATTTACTTCATGTTGGGCACACAAAAACTATTTCATGATATTGTAACTTCATAATGTCACCACATCATGTATATATTTATTTCTTATAGATGTGTTGTATGTTTTTGCCCATTATGAAAAATATGAGAAGTATCTGAAGTAAATTATGACATGACTAAAAAGGACTCCTCTGTTCACTAAAGAACAACTTGAAAATCTTTAGCAAATTTGCATGAAACAGCACCGCCGGGAGGAAGATTTGTGATAGGCAAACAAAAATAGCCTCATGTATTCATTTCCTCTCCTAAGAAATTCAGTACAGTTACTCTAAATCTTTTAGAGGGCCATAATCATCTGGTAAAAATTAATACTACGGCGGATCAAATAGGCCATGCATGCTTGTGCCTTCCGCATTGAATATCAGTGTTAATCAATAACTACCCAAGCGAGTAGTCACGAGTAAGAGAGGAAATAAATTGCTAGCCTTGTCTCTCATTGATTTTGCAAACAAATGAGGGAGTACCAAACATCTCTGGTACCTCGAGCGTTGATATGGCTTCTCATATCATGTTTTCTTTTCAGTGTGGAATATCTAAACTTAGGAGCTAGCATATAGAAAAAGATGAAGGAATGCAAAGGAGTTGGATCATTTATGTGGTATCATTAGAATAGGAGGCAAAGGGAAAGAACCCATGAGCAAGAAAAATAACTTATCTCCAAGAATCGCCTAAGAAGCTCTTCGGATATAATATATTTTCTAGGGCGAATTTCATATCGTCATACAATTAGCAAGATCTTTTGCAAGGTAGTTGATTGGTAATCTCATACATTCATGTACTTTTCTCAATTTTCATAGAAAATTAACCACAAACTCATTCATCGCAAACGAGCATGGAACTAGTATTCGCCCATCATTAGTTAAACACCATCGTGCCATGGGTAATGAGGAGAGTCTCTAGTAATATTCTAGGGATTTTGCCAACAAGAGGAATGAGAAAAACATCAAACCCTAGGTTTGACCACAAGGACGTTTGATTGATGTTTGGGCGACATGATACTCCCTTTGTCCGTGAATAAGTGTACTTCCAACTTTTGTCTTAAGTCAAAGTTTTAAAATTTTGACCAACTTTATTGGGAAAAGTGGCAGCATTTATGGCACTAAATTAGTATCACTAGATCCATTTTGAAATGTACTTTCATAATATACCAATTTGATGTCATATATGTCACTGCCCTTTTGTATGAAGTTGGTCAAAATTATAAAAGTTTGACCTAGGACAAAAGGTAGATAGACACTTATTCGCGGACGCAGGGAGTGCACACGACCATGTGGTGAGACTCACATATGTTGACCTAAATGATCAAACAAGTCTCTCCACAAAATTTTTTTGGGGGGGGGGGATTGGGTGAACATAAATACGTTTCCTTATTTAAGTGCCATTTCTGGTCTTTCAAAAGAATTAAAAAATACTTAAATATCTTTGGAACTAATATTTTTTGAAGGGAATAGTAATCTTATATATAATAGACCTAAAAAATGAATGTAATAAATTTATGTTATGGAAAAATATATAAATAGTTCAAAGCTCTACTTTGGAGTGTTGGAAAAGAAGATGGGTTTAATTGTTTTTTGGCCAAAAAATTGGGGGTTTTAACCACATGCCATTATCAGTGGGAATAGTTTAGGCCATAGGACTGGAAGAGGATAGTTATAGGATTTTCTATGAAATACAATCCTATGGAAACACCAAATAAAATAACTAAGATAAACTTTGAAACATCCAGTAAAAATGAAGATAAACACTTGAAATCAGTCAAGGCAATATCATTTTTAAAATGATGGCTCGATTAATGGTCGGTGTCTACTTAGTTAATTCATGCAATTTTCAAGGTGTGACACAGGGTACCGATGGAGATGATATCTCCATCGGGGATCCCTTGTGCTCCTCAAAAATCTTACTTAGGTGTTTTTCCACCATGGGTTTATCTTTGCAATACATGCACAATATCTTCTTACAGCTATTCGAACCGAAGCATCTGAGGAGGTGAGAACTGACTAAATTTCTAAGTCTGGTTATTTGTCGTGAAATGGGGGTCATGAAAGAGAAACAAAAGTGTATAGTTGTAAAGTTATTCGTGAGAATATTGACACGCGACACCATAAGATGCACAACGGAAAAATGGAACAATGTGTGTAATGCACGGTCATGTATTCAGCAAGTAGAGGTAATTGTGTGGTGCTTCTATCCAAAGAGGCAGAGAGATCGGGAGCACCATGTCCACCTAGAGATATTTTTTGTTGCAAGTTCAAACAAGAATCAAAAACATGTAAACTAGCTTATGTGTATCACATCGTGGAGGGAATCGGAGCGAACCTAAAACCAAATTTAGGGTGTATCTTAAATTTAGTCCTTTGTGGTTGAATGATTCCCGATATGAAAAAAACACATGCCTACGCGTTGATAGATGTCCTCCTAAACCCCTAGTTCATTTCCTATATCTTTTGACCTTCTTTTCCATGGATGGGACTTGCCACGATTTCCCTTGTGTTTCTATATTCATCCATGTCTCCAACTATGTTTGTATATGTGTCAATGAGATTGTCTTTTTCATATTGTTCACGTCTATGAAATGATGGATTCATCTCCAATCCTATGATCTTTGCATGTCTCATATTTTGATGCAAAGACCATAGAAAATTGTTCGATGGTAGAATAAAATAAAGTTATCAGCTATTTACATGAAAAAGGAAAGGAAAAAGTCAATTGGTAACTGGGACTAGAGATGATGTTCAATCCATTCTTTGAGATGAGATGAGTTGTGTTGCTTTGTTCTCTGTTTGACTAGTTTGCCGCATTTCTTCATAATCCCATGCACATGAATTGGAAACTTACTTGCCCTACTAATAAAATTTGATGTTTTCGTAGTATTACTCACATATTTGTATTTATTTCTGTTAAAAATATGATTTTTTTATAGTTGCAATTTATCTAAAATGTCTAGAGTTATTATGGATCTGTGTACTATTTTTTAGGATCTATTTTCTGCTTTTCTAATCTATAGACGCTATTCTAAATATCATTGTTTTTGCCCATAGTGACATCCTGGCCATTTCCCATGATGGCCCATGTGTGTGAGTATGGTTATGATAACTTCGCTTCGCTAACTTATAAAAGTGAGTGCACACCAACGTATAAACTTAATAGTCCATGTGGTAGCAACCTCGTCTTACCTTTTTGCCTGAGGCGAGGACAAAGACACAAGTGAGTTTGAGTCATATGCTAACCCAGTATGAGGTTAGGTCTAAGCTATTTGGAAACTTGGACTTTGCGCCTAGGGTTTCACCTCCTTCCTAACTGCCAGATAATGTCCTGGTGGAGAAGATGTCCCAATGAAAAGAGGGGATCCCCTTGGGTATTTTACTATCGTAGAACTTTTTCCTTCTTACAATCAAGCAAAACCTCATAGCAGACCGCTACCAAAAAATAATTTGGATAAATCTATTCCATAG